GGCAGGGTAATATGAGTGTGGAGGAGTATGCTTTGAAGTTCTCTATGTTGTCTAGGTATGCTCCATCTTTGGTGCCTAACCCTAGAGAGGAGATGAGTAGGTTTGTTACCGGTGTATCCGACTTGGTGAAAGAAGAGTGACGTACGGCAATGCTCCATGGTGACATGAACATCTCTAGTCGTGTTGTGTATGCTCAATCTATTGAGGAGTCCAAGATGAATAGGGTGAGGAAAGATTTAAAAAGGAGTAGGTATGAGGATCAAGGACAACCTAGGTTTAAGAAGAGGGCTCCAAATAAAGATTTCTCAAGTGCTCCTAAGGTTAACCATGAAAAAGGTGGTGGTTCTCAAATTGCTAAGCCTACTTGTTCTACTTGTGGAAAGAAGCATTTTGGGAAGTGTGTATCCGGCAATAGTGGTTGCTATGGTTGTGGGAAAAATGATCCCAAGGTGAGAGATTGTCCTAATAATGTGTCTAAAGGAAAGAATGCTAGGCAAACTCCTTATAGTGGTCCTAGTGTTGATGGTCAAGCAAGGAATCGTTTCTATGCTCTCCAAGCTAACAAGGAAGCAAATCCGGATGAAGGTGCCAGTAAGTCATAATTTCTAGTTTTGTGTTGGAATCCTTTTGTGTTGGTTTAGACGGGTTTCTCCTAAGTGGGGGATGGTATGTTGAAGGATGAGTTGAGGTGATTTTGGATATTCTTGTCTCTTTCTTCTATTCCTAATCAAGCTTGAGGCATAGAATTGTAGTAGCATGATGCATGTTTTTTGGAGTCTTGTGTGGAAAAGAATGAGTTTTCGTATTCTCCTTGTAATGATGCATGCTTTAAATAGACTTCTTGATTTAAATAATAAAATGAGGTTCATGGTTGTTGTTCTCTTTATATGCATAAAATGGTGAGTTGCTAAAAGTAGTTAGAGTTGATTAGTTGAGCATGCTTAAGTGTATTCTTTATGTGGCATGATTGTGTTTTGATGAGATAATTGCATATTGTGTTCTTTGATGTTGTTATGAGCGTGAGGTACTATGGAGAAGGGAGTTCCTCGAAATAAATGAGAAATGGAAAATGGTTTGGGGAATGTTGAGTTGTAGGTGTGATTCGTACTTCCAAAAAATTGAATGAAGTGGTGTTCTAATGGCTTGTTATGTGGAATTGATGTTTCCTCCTTGATGAGTTCCTTCATATGGATATTGTATGATTTTTGTGGGCTGCTTGTCTTGAGTCATTACCCTTAATGTTTTAAAGTGTCATTCGAAGTCGAATGTTTCCTAGTGGGGGATATTGTAACGCCCCTCAAAATGAAGTAGGATAAAGTAGAGCCTCACATGGGTTTTGTGCATTAGTAACTTGTTTAAATGTTGAGTTTTTACTCTTCAGGTCTAGTTTGAAGAGTTTAGTGAGTCGACATCAAGGAACGTGTTAGACTCCATGCTTTGAGACCTACTCTAGGTTGGCTGAGGGTCCTAGACAAGTAGCCAAGGAAAAAGGGGCAACCCTTAGCCAAAAACCAAAGGCTTTCCCAAGTTGGCTGCCCGATGCCCAAAAGACCACGGGAACCACCACAGCCAGTGGTGCCCTGGACGGTCCGTACACTTGTGTGTGAAGATCACTTTCTCTCAAGGGAGGCAAGGCAATGTTGCCTAGGTGCTTCCTCATCTTCACGAGCTCCACAAAGACTCGTGGTGAACACCACGGATCGTGAAAGCATCCGCGAAGATGCCTTGAGCCCTTGAGGGCTTGACATGGTGGAGAGGCCCATTGGTCAAGGGACCACGGGCACCACCACGAGCCGTGGTACCCTTCACGACCCATCCAAGTGGACGTGTTCCCAGACGGGGCTGCCCAAATGAAGGGCTTTTAAGTAATTTCGTTTTAAATCTTTAACATGTGGGGTTGATTTTAAATGTTTTATATCATTAATATAAATAGTTTTATGTCTTATATCCTTCCTTTAACTCATTATTCTCAAATACCCTAATCAAAACCTCCAAAGTTGTTATCTCTGAATATTTCTCTCTCAACTCAAGGAAGAAGAAGAAGTGGAACCTAGGGTTTTGGTTTTCAAGCTTTCTTCATCAAATTTTTGTGGGATTCATCAAGTATAACTTATGGTGACCCTTGATCCTTGATTATCCTTTCTTTCAAGGAGTCCATTCAAAAGGGTTTTAAAAGTCTTCAAAGAACAAAAAGCCTAATTTCTATTCAAAGCATGGGTTCATTGATAAATTGTTTTCAAAAGCATTATATTGGTGAATTAAAGTATAATCGATGATTTTATATGAACTTTCTTCAACAATTCATGTTTTCACTAAAACCCTAAATTTGCTATGAAGTGGGTCTATTTCTATAAATTCAAAGTTAATGGAATTATGTGTAAAGTGAATTGTATTGATATCTCTTGTGTTGTTTAATGTTTATTTATGATTAATTGTTGATAATGAATGAATTAAGGGTGGTAAGCCTTATGGGTGAAGTATTGATGATTTTGGCTAGGGCTTTGCATTATGGTAAGACAGCTTGAACTCTCTTTATGGAATTGATTTTTGTTGGTAGGTTGAATCCACCTTTGGTGAAAGTGTTATATCTTATTCTTGCGTGGTATTATTGGGAATCGAGGCCATGAAGGGCAATATATGAGTGTTACTATATTGTTGTATTTTTATACCTATATGAGGCTATATGTAAAGTCCTATATGAAGCTTTATGTAAAGTTTGTGTGAAGCTATAATGTGAAGATGTTCTAATGGTATTACTGTGATAATGTATAAAGTGTTATTATGCTAATGTGAAAGCATGTCTCTCTTGAAATGGTGATATGTGGTGATGATGGACTATGATGAGTTTTGATAACATGATACTGTAGATCATATGCTAGACTTGAGTATCTTGTCTTGTGTCATGGAAGCTTGCTTATATATATATGAATATTTGGTTGGGCTATGATTTAGTAATGGAGTTCTTCCTATAAATGCGAAAAGAGGAATTCTAGGCCAAGACTTTAATTGGTAGACTTAAGCATAGTGCCTTTTCATGAGTCTAGCTTTTCTAAGAAAATGTATAACCTTGAAGCATGGTCGTTAGGGGGATTTTCCCTTCTTGAGTGAAATGACAGACTTAAAGATGGATGGAGCCGGAACGGCATGAGAATCTTTATCTAAGAAAGTCAAATAAGCTACCCTTATGAACCTAGATTGGCTATGACTAAGAAATGGGGCCTTTCTTGGGAATAGGTACTCTGAGTTGGTTAAACTAGAAAATGAACCCTCTCTAGTAAATATGTGATTGAATACTCTATGGAAACGAAGGCTAAGCACCGAGTGGATGTGGTTAGGATGGTGGCCTAGTTGAGCATGAGATTAGGCACAATGAACATCCTTGGACATCTCTTAAACCATGTGCCAACATGGGTTGCTTTTAGTTCTACCATTGGCAAGTAGAAAACCCTCACGGAGTAGGATAGATTCCGGATTCCATACCTTGATAATGTGGTCTATGTCGGTAAGGCCTATTTCCATCATGTAGGATGTGCATTGTAGTATTGGATAGGTTCTACAATGTGTAGGTAGTAGTATGGGATGATTTCTACATATGGCATGAGTAGGCTTAAAAGATGCTAAAGTGAGTTTCCTAAGCCTTAGGTCTATTATGTGATTGTCCCCTTTATGCTTGTGTGTCTCTTAAATGGTTTTATAAAGAATGTTGACTTAGTATGTTATATTATAATGATAAGACCCTTGTTTATGGTAACTCTTAGGAACACTTAGGTGTATATGAAGAGGTTGTATGGGCGGTCACTTCATTATTCCCTTAAGTGTTGTTTAGGGTGACTTTAGATAGAGGCTTAAATGGTAATTAACGAATTACTTTGCTATCTTGTTTAAGTATTGTACACTTGTATTAATTGACTTGTAAATGATGTGATTATGGTCTTAATTGTGAATGGTGACTTGAAACGTGGGTTTATGCTTGTGGTTGTAAAGGTTTGTTAAAGAAGGTCTAAAAATCATACATTCCTTGTAAATGTCCGTTGTGCATGTTTTCTTGCATGGTCATCATACTTACTACTTATTGTACTAACTTCGTATTTCACTATTGTTATAAGTGTAGGTGATGGGAAGTGAGGAGATCTTTTGAGGAAGCTTGGGATATTGACTCTTCTCAAGAAGCTTGGTATGTCCTCATATATTCGAGGACATAGTTGTTAACTTTCTAGTATTTCCACTTAGACATTGAATAAGACTTATATTTTCTATTGTTGTAAAGGGTCATGTCCCTAAGATGTTCTATTCGTATCTAAGATGGTACCTGAGACTTAGAAATTCTACTTCTTTACATTTGAAATATTTTACGAGTATTATGGATTTGTTTTAAAAAGTGTTTTTATTCCTTAAGGTTTTTAATACCGAATGCGACGAATGAATGCTAAGGCTTGTATAAGACCTCTGAGAGGTCGAATACGCATGTAACGGCTACGGGGTGCTCCCGAGTCATTACAAACTTGGTATCAGAGCATAATGTTTTGGAAATTGTCCCTTATGATACAAAGTCTCATATGCCACGTCTAGTAAAGTCTTTTTCATCGGTGTGAGTGGCGACACATATATGAGTGAGAGGCTATAGGATGGTAGAAGTTTCACTTCTTTCATTAATCTTGACGTAGTGCCTTAGAGTTTGGTCTATAAGTGTCATTTTCCTAATTCGTGTATTGAGTTTATAGGAAATGAATACGAGGGCTAACCGAACGAGAGCGGAAGAGGAGGTAGTTGATGAAGGAGTTTCGCTCCAAGGTGTGCAAGGTCTTCAAGGTGACCCAGTCCCCATAGGCAATCTAGAGAATGAGGTTCCGGTGGTTCCCCCGGCCATGACTAATAAAGAGATTAGGGAGGCTTTTCTAACTCTAGCCTGAGCCATGACGGCTCAAGCTAACTGAGATGTGGGGCCTAGGGTGAATACAAATGAGAGTACGGTGGGTTCAAGGTTGATAGACTTCGTGAGGATGAATCCTCTTATCGTTTTGGGCTCTAGAATTGGAGAAGATCCCCAAGGATTCTTGGATGAGATTCACAAAATTGTGGATGCTATGGGAGTATCTTCTGGAGAGAAAGAGGAATTGGCTTCATACCAATTGAAGGATGTGGCCCAAATTCGGTACACTCAATGGAACGCAAATAGGCCGGAGGAAGCGGGTCCTATAGAATGGGAGGATTTTAAGAAATCATTCTTGGGTAAGTACTTTCCACTATAGAAGAGGGAGTGCAAACTTCAGGAGTTCATTAATCTTAGGCAAGGTAATATGAGTGTGGAGAAGTATGTTTTGAAGTTCTCTATGTTGTCTAGGGTGAGGAAAGATTTAAAAAGGAGTAGGTATGAGGATCAAGGACAACCTAGGTTTAAGAAGAGGGCTCCAAATCAAGATTTCTCAAGTGCTCCTAAGGTTAACCATGAAGGATGTGGTGGTTCTCAAATTGCTAAGCCTACTTATTCCACTTGTGGAAAGAAGCATTTTGGGAAGTGTTTATCCGGCACTAGTGGTTGCTATGGTTGTGGGTAAAACGATCACAATGTGAGAGATTATCCTAATAATATGTCTAAAGGAAGGAATATTAGGCAAGCTCCTTCTAGTGGTCCTAGTGTTGATGGTCAAGCAAGGAATTGTTTCTATGCTCTCCAAGCTAACAAGGAAGCAAATCCGGATGAAGGTGCCGGTAAGTCATAATTTCTAATTTTGTGTTGGAATCCTTTTGTGTTGGTTTGATGGGTTTCTCCTACGTGGGGGATGGTATGTTGAAGGATGAGTTGAGGTGATTTTGGATATTCTTGTCTCTTTCTTCTATTCCTAATCAAGCTTGAGTCATAGAATTATAGAAGCATGATGCATGTCTTTTGGAGTCTTGTGTGGAAAAGAATGAGTTTCTATATTCTCCTTATAATGATGCATGCTTTAAATTGAGTTCTTGATTTAAATAAGAAAATGAGGTTCATGATTGTTGTTCTCCATATATGCATAAAACAGTGAGTTGCTAAAAGTTGTTAGAGTTGATTAGTTGAGCATGCTTAAGTGTATTCTTTATGTGGCATGATTGTGTATTAATAAGATAATTGTATATTGTGTTCTTTGATGTTGTTATGAGTGTGAGGTACTATGGAGAAGGGAGTTCTTCCAAATAAATGAGAAATGGAAAAAAGTTTTAGGTATGTTGAGTTGTAGGTGTGATTCCTACTTCCATAAATTTGAATGAAGTAGTGTTGTAATGGCTTGTTATGTGGAGTGGATGTTTCCTCCTTGATTTGTGCTTTCATATTGATATTGTATGATCGTTGTGGGCTTCTAGTCTTGAGTCATTACCCTTAATGTTTTAAAGTGTCATTCGAGGACGAATGTTCCCAAGTGAGGGATATTGTAACGCCCCTCAAAATGAAGTAGGATAAAGTAGAGCCTCACATGGGTTTTGTGCATTGGTAATTTGTTTAAATGTTGAGTTTTGACTCTTAAGGTCTAGTTTGAAGAGTTTAGAGAATCAACGTCAAGGCAAGTGTTAGATTCCATGCATTGTGACCTACTCTAGGTTGGTTGAGGGTCCTAGACAAGGAGCTAAGCCAAAAGGGGCAAGCCTTAGCCAAAAAGCCAAGGCTTTCCCAAGTTGGTTGCCCACTGCCCCAAAGACCACGGGCACCACCACGGCAAGTGGTGCCCTAGACGGTCCGTATACTTGGGCGTGAAGATCACTAGGTCTCAAGGGAGGCAAGGCAACTTTGCCTAGGTGCTGCCTTATCTTCACGAGCTCTACCACGACTCGTTGTAAAGGTCGTGTCCCTAAGATGTTCTATTCATGTCCAAGATGGTACATGAGACTTAGAAATTCTACTACTTTACATTTGAAAGATTTTATGAGTATTATGGACTTGTTTTAAAAACTGTTTTTATTCCTTATGGTTTTTATTATCGAATGCGATGAATGAATGCTAAAGCTTGTATCAGACCTTCGAGAGGTGGAATACGCATGTAACGGCTAGGGGGTGCTCCCGGGTCATTACAACAATGGATCGAGACTTGAAGTTTGATTTTTTGTTTGAAGATCAAGATTTCTTTGAATTTAAAACATTCGTAAATGATATCTTTTAATGTATTCAATACTTATTTTCGATTATTCAATTGAAAGCATGAGTGGCTAAAAACAATAACTAGGGTTGTGAGAACTATGACGGTACTTTATGGGTAGATTCACAGAACGAGTAGAGTGTGATTATTATTTGCAAAATATAATTTTTAATTTTGTTATTCATTTTTTCTGATGAGTGCACGAATCATAATTTGCCTATATCTATCAATTGTTCGAGAGAAAATCGGTAGGTAAGAAAAAGTTGATTAATCTGATGGTTTGGAGTGAAAGTTTGAGTGTGAGAGAAAAGAATTTTGACACCAAAATATGCAAGGGTAATAACTGATAACACTCTAAGATCGAGATGACTCGAGCGGAAATTATCTATGTCACGACCAAGGTGTACCCCCAGATGTATCATGGCACATAGACCCTAGAGGGACTCCATGTGAGCCACTTAGCATATCACAACATAAGATAATTTTAACACCTCGAAAACCAGACCCAGAAAAAAATTGCAGAAACTTACCTAAAGTAGTGAACCACGATCCGTTGACCTGTCTGTGGTCATGACTTGGATCCCTACAGGCTAGACATCAGATCACGGGACCTTTCACGGGTCGTGGTCTTGATGATGGACCGTGGTGGAGTCGTATAGTCAAGGCAGTAGCCCCCCTTGCCAGCCCTTTAGACCTCCACTCCCAAGTGAAGACCATGAGGGCTTTCACAGTCCATGGTCCCTCACACGGGTCGTAGAGTCGCCCGTGAAGTCTATCCAGTAGCCCTCCAGACTTGAGCCTCCAGACCACAGCTCAAGTGAGGACTACGGGGACCTTCGCGGTGTGTGGTCCTCCACACGGGCCGTGGTAGGGGGCTTGTGGATCAAACCCCTAAACCCCCAACTCATGGACAAAAGACCACGGCCCACTTTACGGTCCGCGGTCCCTTTCACGGTCCGTGAAAGTGGTCGTGGTCAGCCACATCTGCAACTTTGTTTAAGTGTCCTCGGCAAGGAGCCTAGCCAAAAGGGGCAACCCTTAGACAAAAAGCCAAGGCCTTCCCAAGTTGGCCGCCCAGTGCCCCAAAGACCACGGGCACCACCACGGCCATTGGTTCTGTAGACGGTCCGTATACTTGGGCGTGAAGATTACTTGGTCTCAAGGGAGGCAAGGCAACTTTGCCTAGGTGCTGCCTTATCTTCACGAGCTCCACCACGACTCGTTGTAAAGGGCGGTGTCCCTAAGATGTTCTATTCATGTCTAAGATGGTACTTGAGACTTAGAAATTCTACTGCTTTACATTTGAAAGATTTTATGAGTATTATGGACTTGTTTTAAAAACTATTTTTATTCCTTACGGTTTTTATTACCGAATGCGATGAATGAATAGTAAGGCTTGTATCAGACCTTCGAAGGGTCGAATTCGCATGTAACTACTAAGGGGTGCTTCCAGCTCATTACAACATTGGATCGAGACTTGAAGTTTGATTTTGTGTTTGAAGATCAAGATTTCCTTGAATTTAGAACATTCGCAAGTGATATCTTTTAATGTATTCAATACTTATTTTTGATTATTCAATTGAAAGCAAGAGTGGCTAAACACAATACTAGGGTTGTGAGAACCATGACAGTACTCTATGTGTAGATTGACAGAACGAGTAGAGTGTGATTATTATTTGCAAAATATAATTTTTAATTTTTTTTATTCATTTTTTCTGATGAGTGCACGAGTTAGAACTTGCCTATATCTATCAATTGTTCAAGAGAAAATCGGTAGGTAGGAAAAAGTTGATTAATCTGATAGTTTGGAGTGAAAGTTTGAGTGTGAGAGAAGAGAATTTTTACACCAAAATATGTAAGGGTAATATCTGATAACACTCAAAGATCGAGATGATTCGAGCGGAAGTTATCTATGTGACGACCAAGGTGTACCCCTAGATGTAACATGGCACATAGAACCCCAAAGGACTCCATGTGAGCCACTTAGCATATCACAACATAAGATAATTGTAACACCTCGAAAACCAGACACAAAAAAAAATGCAGAAATTTACCTAAAGTAGTGAACCACGACAGGGTTCACGGACCGTGACAGGCTCCACAATCCGTTGACCTGTCTGTGGTCATGACTTGGATCCCTACAGGACCGACATCATATCAAGGGACCCTTCACGGGTCGTGGTCTTGATGATGGACCGTGGTGGAGTCATATAGTCAAGGTAGTAGCCCCCCTTGCCAGCCCTTTAGACCTCCACTCCCAAGTGAAGACCATGAGGGCCTTCACAGTCGGTGGTCCCTCACACAGGTCGTGGAGTCGCCCGTGAAGTCTATCCAGTAGCCCACCAGACTTGAGCCTCCAGACCACAGCTCAAGTGAGGACCACGGGGACCTTCACGGTGTGTGGTCTTCCACACGGGCCGTGGTAGGGGCTTGTGGATCAAACCCCAGAACCCCCAACTCATGGATGAAAGACCACGACCAACTTTACGGTCTGCGGTCCCTTTCAAGGTCCGTGAAAGTGGTTGTGGTCAGCCCCGTCTGCAACTTTGGTTAAAGGTCCTAGACAAGGAGACAAGCCAAAAGGGGCAAGCCTTAGCCAAAAAGGCAAGGCTTTCCCAAGATGGCTGCCCACTGCCCAAAAGACCACGGGCACTACCACGGCCAGTGGTGCCCTAGACTGTCCGTATACTTGGGCGTGCAGATCACTTGGTCTCAAGGGAGGCAAGGCAACTTTGCCTAGGTGCTGCCTTATCTTCACGAGCTCCACCATCACTCGTTGTAAAGGGCCGTGTCTCTAAGTTGTTCTATTCTTGTCTAAGATGGTGCATGAGACTTAGAAATTCTACTGCTTTACATATGAAAGATTTTATTAGTATTATGGACTTGTTTTAAAAACTATTTTTATTCCTTACGGTTTTTATTACCGAATGCGATGAAGGAATACTAAGGCTTGTATCAGACCTTCAAGATGTCGAATACGCATGTAACGGCTAGGGGGGTGCTTCCGGGTGATTACAATATTGGATCGAGACTTGATGTTTGATTTTGTGTTTGAAGATCAAGATTTCTTTGAATTTAGAACATTCGCAAGTGATATCTTTTAATGTATTCAATACTTATTTTCCATTATTCAATTGAAAGCATGAGTGGCTAAACACCATAATTAGGGTTGTGAGAACTATGACAGTACTCTATGTATAAATTGACAAAACGAGTAGTGTGATTATTATTTCCAAAATATAATTTTTAATTTTGTTATTCATTTTTTCTGATGAGTGCATGAGTTAGAACTTACCTATATATATCTATTCTTCGAGAGAAAATCGGTAGGTAGGAAAAAGTTGATTAATCTGATGGTTTGGAGTGAAAGTTTGAGTGTGAGAGAAGATAATTTTGACACCAAAATATGCAAGGGTAATATCTGATAACACTCTAAGATCGAGATGATTCGA